CAGTTCTCCTCTGTTACACCAGGGGGCGCTGTGAGTGGATGATCTATAAGAGTATATACGAGTATATAGTGACACAATAGATGACAGCCTAGGAAACCCTGTGGGGCAGTTCTACTCTGTCACACCAGGGGACGCTGTGAGTGGATGATCTATAAGAGTATATACGAGTATATAGTGACACAATAGATGACAGCCTAGGAAACCCTGTGTGGCAGTTCTCCTTCGTTACACCAGGGGGCGCTGTGAGTGGATGATCTATAAGAGTATATATGAGTATATAGTGACACAATAGATGACAGCCTAGGAAACCCTGTGGGGCAGTTCTACTCTGTCACACAGGGGTGCTGTGAGTCAGAAAGGATTCCACAGCACCCAACAACACAAACAACAAGAAGTCTAACTGCAGGTCAGGCTCTTTCAGATGAAGGTGATTTTTAACCCTTTGATGGCACTGTGCACCGTTCCAGAGACAAGTGTATGCACATCAGAATCTAGAACTTACTCCAAAGCTGGGAAGGAAGAAGGGGTTCTGAGGGAGCAATTGCTTGTCACTGTTTGGTGCCCTGTGACTCTCCAGTGCCCGAACCACACCTATTCCCTCCACATCCCCAGTGTGTCTTTGCCTGTTTGCTTCAGAGAGAGAAACACAAGCTGAACGCCAACAGAGCCCAGCAGATCAGTGTGAGAAAAGTGCGGACCAGACGAGAGGAATGGGAGAGGCGGAGAATGGGCATCGAGTTCATGAGTGACCCCAGGACTCCGGGGCAGGCGGGCAGCAGGAGCGAGGACAGAGTGCCCCGAGGGTTTGTCATTTCACCTTGTTCAGATCCCAGCCCCAGGCTGCCGTCCCTGCTTCAGCTCTCGGGACATGTGTCCTCCCTCCTGATGACCTTGCCCTATAACCTGATGCCTGGATTGCTGTGCACAGCGTCTTACTAACACCACATCAGCTGCAGCTTCAAGAACATGAGCTCTCCCTCCTGCCCTGAAGTCCCAGCTACCCTGCTGCCTTTCAGAACTTTGTGCAGCTAACGAGTGCCACAGTTTCACCCTTTTCTGATTCTCATACTCAGCTCTGCGTTCACCGACAGCAAGCAGGCCTAAACTCACCCCGCCGGCTCGGTTCGGCCTGGATCTAAATGCCTCTCTCCTGTTTCAGGAAGGTAGAAGGCTCTGCACTCCTCTCTCCGCTTCTCTCTCCATTACTACTGTTGACACTTTCTCTGGTTCTCCGGCTCCCGTGTCCATGTTAAATGCTGTTTTAAAATTAACTGGAATTTGCCACATTGCTTCATGCCTTAGAGAGGAAAGATGCTGAAACAGGGTGGAAAATCAGGCCTTGCATTTTTTTCTGCTTCCCTGTGACTTCTGGGAATCCAAATCCACGTAACATGGAACCTTGCTGCTAACGTCATAATTAATGTTGCTTTGGGGCTCTCATGGGTTTATCACCAGTCAGCAGTAGAGGGAGATTAATGTGTGATTTCGGTGCATTTATGGCATTACATTTTTCTTAACTATACTTGTTCATCGACTATGTGCCGTGCCTCTCAGGAGTTTTTCTAGTTTGGGTTTTGAATTTCTCTCTTGCTCCTTCTTTTAGATCTCACACCTCAGATGTTACGGATTACTCTTACCCAGCCACGCCAAACCATTCTCTGCTCCCGCAGTCCGTGACGCCCTCCTACTCGGCTGGCGAAGGGCCGCCACATGGGGCAGCAGGCCAGGCTGCTGAGCATGAGTTCAGACCGCCCTCCGCCTCGGCCAGGCACATGACCCTCAACAGACCGCAGCAGCCGCCCCCACCGCCCCCGCCACAGGCCGCAGATGGGTCTCAGGCCTCGGCCCCCGTGGCCCCAGCAGACTATGGGTGAGTCCGCACGCCTTGCACTCGAAGACTTGCCCACACATTTGGATCTTAGTGTGCAGTGGAGCTTCAAGGAGTCAAACAGTTCACCTGCCTGGATTTTAATGGAAAGGTTGGAATTTGAATCTATCCACAGGCACTTCAGAGCAGAGGTCTTCCAAACAGTGGCAGCTGGAAGAGCCCTGTGGAGCACAGTTACACTTGGAAACATGGGGCTGTTGCGCGTTGGGGCCAGCTTGATGCCCCCTGAGTTTTTGTTGTTTTTAATGATCATTTGGTACTTTGGAGGCCAGAAGGCAACCAAGAGTCACCAGATGTTGTTGTTTAGTGCTTTCAAGTTGGTTCTGACCCATAGCGACTTTGCGTAAGGTTTCTGAGAAGTGGCTGGTGGGTTTGAACCGCTGGCCTTGCGGTTCAAACTGACCTTGCAATCCAGCACATTATCCTCCATATCACACCAGGTTTCCTGTCTATACATCAGATGTGGACACTACCTTTTATGACAAATTTAATGCTAAACAAAGTAGATGCTGATGTATCTGCCTGCGGCTTCCTGGTTTTCATTGTTAAAACTAACAGTGCCGGTGCAGTCGGCTCCAACTCATCACATTTAGCGTTTCCCAGGCTGTCAGTCTTTATGGGAGCAGAAAGCCTCATCTTTCTCCCTTGAAGTGACTGGTAGATTCGAACTGCTGACCTTGCAGTTAACAGCCCAACTTGTAATCCACTACTCTACCAGGGCTCCTTTATTAAAGATAATGTTGTTGTTGTTAAGTGCCGTTGAGTTGGTTCCAACCCACAGTGACCCTGTATAGGGTTTCTGAGAAGTGGCTGGTGGATTTGAACTGCCGACCTTGTGGTTCAAGCTGACCTTGCAGTCCAGAGCATTAACCAGCTGTGCCATACCAGGAGTCTTTTATTAAGGACGATTGTTGTTGTTAAGTGCCGTGGAGTGGAGTCAGTTCCAACCCATAGTGACCCTACATAGGGTTTCCAAGGAGTGACTGGTGAGCTTGAACTGCCGACCTTGCAGTTCAAACGGCTTTGCAGTCTGGCACATTAACCCAGAGCGCCACACTAGAACAGAGTTTATATCTATTTCCACATATATGCATTCTAGTTAGATATGTACCAACAGGTAGTTTATTTACTGAGTTGTTAAACCAGGACATTGATAAAGGGTGGTGAACCTATCTTGTAAACCAACCCTGAGCCCTCAGCTTTCTTACACACTAAGTTATCAATGTGGTGCTGTAGAATCAGCACTGGACTGCTAACCGCAAGGTCGGCAGTTCAAACCCACCAGCTCCTCCTCAGAAACGCTGTATAGGAGGGTGGCTATGAGTTAAAACTAACTCAAGGGCTCTGAACAGCAAGAGCAGGTTGCCCACTCTTACTGTAAGTATTCTGTTACTAGGTCAAGCATCTAGAATACAGAGAACCACCTACAACTGACCCCTTTTCATTCCTCCTCTCCTGCCCCTTTCTGCCTTCTGAACTTTGTCCTTGGACAAATGCTGCCCCTGTGATCTCAAAGGGTCGATTCTTCTAAGCAGTGCTTACTCTCAAGTTAACTGTCCCGTTAGACCTGTCTGTGGTTTAGCTGAAGTTTGCATCCTGGGAGTGAGTTCGTTTGCAGACCTGCTGAGCGCTCTAGGCCAGAGTGTCCGGGTTCCACTCATCTCCACCAGCCAGTAAATTGGGTCTTTTTTATGACTTTGAGTTTCATTCCACATTTTTCTCCCCTCTACCCAGAACCTTCTAACTGACCCCTTTCAGAGCCGTCGGTACAAGACCCTCATGTTCAGGTGTTTATTTCTTCATTTCAAACCCCTCCCTTATTTTCATCGGCTCTCTTTAGCTCTCTGTTTGGGCTTCTCTCCAATCTTGGAAGAGTGACCTTTCAGACTATACCAAGGGAAACGGATTATATGTCAGGAGCTCTGCTAGCATAGTGGTTACGAATCAGTCTGCGAATCGCAAGGTTAGCAGTTCAAAGCTACCAGCTGTTCCACGGGAGAAAGATGAGGCTTTGTGCTCCCATAAAGATCTACAGCCTCAGAAACCCTGTGCAAGGTCACTATGAGTCGGAACTGACTCCACGGCACACAACAACCACAACCCCCTCTGACCTCACAAGAGGGAAGGAGAATCAAACGCCACATCAGTCCAAGGCCTGTTCCTGTGAGGCAGAGGTCAGCCTCGCCTCCCCGCTCCCCGCTGCCTCACCACGCAGCCCTCCACAGCATACCTGCACTCTGCTGGGTCCATTGCACTGCTCGCCCAGAATTCAGAGACCATGGTCACTTACGGGGTGTATTTGGGGAAGGTAACACAGTGCAGTTTGGGGTTAGAGATGTTCAGGATTCAGTTCTTTGGTCAGGACAGCCTCTTCCTAGCCATGTCCACAGGTAGGCCTCTCGCTGGTCCTTGGCCACTTGGCCTGACTTCTGTCCTGCACAGGCCATGGTACAAAACTCCTTTAGCACTGCTGGTAAATGCCCAAGGGCACTCTCCTCTGTCTTTAGCTTCAGCCCGAAGGCGCTCAGCTCGTATTCTGTGAGTCAGCAAACCGAACTCCCCCAAGTAAGAGTCTGGAGGCATCCCGCTCGAGCCTCCTGGGCCCAGAAGCCCACCCCTGTCTTGGGCTCTGACTCTTGGTCCTGCTGCTGCTCCTCTGCCGTTTCTCTGGTGTCTCTCGTGCTCCGGAGGGTCAGTGTGCTGCGAATCTCTGGGTCCAAGGACATGCTGCACCCCCGGCTCTTGCTCGCTAGTGAGCTCCTCCGTGTCTGCTCTGAGGTGGCTCACTTTGTACACACTGTAGAGTTCCACCTTTTTACATCACAATGGGCCCTGTTCACAGTTCCTCACAGCAGAATCATACCATCCCATCAGCATCTCCCCCCAGCTTCTCCAATTCACACCCACCAGGGAAAGAGGAAATACACCCAGTCTGCATGGTCCCCCCCAGACATTCGGTGAGACTTAGAAAGACTAGAGACTGGAAGGGTCCTAACAAGTCAGTCACTGTACCACCTGGTTCCATGAGCATGTGCCTTCTTCAACCCAGAGCCAAGCTTCTCCTGACTCACCAGTCCTGGGGACTTTCCCATCTGTAGGTCTTCTAACTTAGGACCCCCAGAACATGTCCAAGGCTGGTACTAAGTGTCTGGCAGAGTGGGTCACTGGCCCCTGGTTAAGCTGATGTAGAAAACCTTTGCTTAGAATTAAGCCGATCACTTGACTGTTGTTATGTGCTGTGGAGTTGGTTCCTACTCATAGCGACCCTGTACAGGGATTCCGAGGCTGACTTTACAGGAGCAGAAAGCCTCATCGTTCTCCCACAGAACAGCTGGGAGTTTCAAACTGCTGACCATGAGATTAGCAGCGGATTTGTAACCACTACGCTCTTGACTGTAGGACTTCACAGAACTTCTTACAGCCATTGTGGGCATGGAGACTTTCCATGGGGGTGGGAGAGGGAGTGTAGAATTTTCCACACTGAACTGACCACAGAACCCTTTGGAGACCCACTTGTCAGCCTCCCCAGTTTGGAAGATGCCCTGTTCAGGGTTTGTATGTGTTGGCAGTCTTGCGTGGGCAATTAACTGATTTATCCTAGCTCCCCACAGAAACCAGTTTTGCTTGGTAAGTGGTCACTTTGGGGCACATTCCAGATCCTGAATTCCACCTAAGGACAAAGTTCAGAAGGATTAGGGAATGAGAGCTGTTCCATGGAGGGGATTGAAATGGTTGAGATCAAACAAAATGCCTGAATTGTTGAATGTACAGTTGATGATCTGCTCTGTTAACATTCACTCAGTTCACAAACAGCCGACCCCAACATGGATGTTATTTGCATCCGGCACCATCTCACATTCACATGTTTGAGGCAAGGAGCCCTGGTGGTGCTGTGGGTAAGGCATTGGGCTGCTAGCTACAAGACTGATGGTTCAAACCCACCAGCCACTCAGTGGGAGAAAACTGGGGCTGGTTGCTCCGGTAAAGGTCCCAGAAGCCCAGTGTGGGGTTCCAGGTGTGTTTCCCTGAGATGTCTCTGACACATGCTATCTGGTCTTTTTTGTCAGGATGCTCCCGGCCCAGATGATGGAGTACTACAGCCCTTCAGGACCACCGCCGCCGCCACCGCCCCCCATGATCCCTTCCGCACAAACTGCTTTTGTCAGCCCCGTGCAGATCACACTGCAGCCTTCCTTCCCCACCCCCACCGGGGGCCCCTATGTGACCCCACCTCACCCTCCTCCCACGGGGCTCATCGTCACTGCCCCACCCCCACCAGGCCCACCCCCACCCCCACCAGGCCCCCCGGGGGCCGGCTCCTCGCTCTCATCCTCACCCATGCATGCCCCTCCAGGAGCCGAGGCGAAGCGCCCAGAAACCACCCAGCCCCCCATCAGCGATGCGCGAAGCGATCTCCTTGCTGCTATTCGGATGGGTAAGTGAGCGGCACGCTTCCTACAGATACTTCCCGAGAGACAGAGTTCTTCCTGGTCCCCACGGCCTTCGGTGGTGGCTTCAGTGTGGAGAGAAGGCCTTCAAGAATTGGAGGAAGGAAGCCCACTTGGCATATTGGGTTGGGTTGGGTTTTGCCAGATACATAGGCCCCGCTAAGCACTCAGTTGCTAACCAAAAGGTGAGAGGTCTGACTCGTCCTGCAGCACAGAGAAAGAGAGGCAGTCTAAGTCCGTAAAGATGGTTGTTGAGTGCCATCCAGCTGGTTCCGACCTGTAGTAACCGTGTATAGGGTTTCTGAGGAGCAGCTGGTGAGCTTGAACCACCAACCTTGTGGTTCCAACTGACTTGGCAGTCCAGTGCCTTAACCTGCAGCGCTACAGCCTGTGAGACCCTGTGAGCCGCCCTGTTCTCTCACACAGGGCCACTGTGACTCAGAATTGACTTGATGAACCACACAGGCATTCCAGCTTGAATACCCACTGTGGCTAGTGGCCGCCTTGTTGGACGGTTCGGCTTTAAAGTTGTCTTCAACAGTGTTCATGTGTACTGGGCTCATAATGAACTTTTATACATTCCAATCCTTAGTTCTCAGAGGCAGCAGCTGTGACTATGCCTTTGAGTTTCTAGTTTCCTTTTTGTCATGAACCTTCCCCCATTTCCCAACCCCCCCCCCCACCTTGTACCAATTCAAATCATGTCTCTAACCATGTATCCCAGGGCCCTGTAGTTTCAAGGTTGTGCATATCCCCTTTCACATTTCCAACGCTCTCCATCCTCAGTGTCACTTACCTGTGTGCGCGCACGTTTTCCTTTGGGCTGGAGCCCGCAGAGGGCTGAGAATCCAAGCCACCTCTCGCCTCTCTTGTCTCTAGGAATTCAGCTGAAGAAAGTGCAGGAACAGCGGGAACAGGAGGCCAGGAGAGAGCCGGTGGGAGACGATGTGGCCACCATTCTGTCCAGACGTATAGCTGTGGAGTACAGCGACTCGGACGACGACTCAGAGTTCGACGACAACGACTGGTCAGATTGAGGCCGTGTGCAGAGGGCAGGGGGACGCGCGAGCTGCCAGCTGCCACGTGGACACTGAGGGCTGCAAACTGACCGAAGGCGTGAAGCGGTCTCCACACCCAAATCGTGCTGTTCTAACCCTATAGCTTAGCGACTTTTGTATGAGTAACACGCTGTCGCTTCTGCACAACCCCAGCTCCTAGGTTTCTTTCTGTATTTGCTCTGCCGATCGCGCTGCCCCAGGGGAGACGTGCTGCCTTAGCTCTCTCCCTGGCCGTGAACGTATTCCCTGCAGCCCAGGTTTACGCTTCTCGACCTGTCCTCCCCACTCTGCAGCCTTGCTGTGTGTGAGTGTGAGTGAAACTGCCCGGTCGTTAGGTCTTTGCCAGATTCACGACTGTATGTCACTGATGTCTTCCGATTAGTTAGTGATAGCGTTTTGCTCTTTTGTTTTGATCAGTGTGTTTCAAGAGAAGGTTCTAGAAAGGAGGATTGAACAAGCGAGGCAGCTTCTGAGTGAACAGAACGTTCCGTTGAATGATTTTGTTTCCTTTGCACGTGTTTGTAAAACCTGACCTGGGAAGGGCGCCCCTCCCTTTCAATGAAGACTCCCCAGTCCTCTTCCTTCCCCCCATGAGCATTGCTAAGTGAATGTTTGTTGGTGATTTTATATGAGCCCTCGCCAGCTGTAGTAATGACAATGAAGAGCGGGGGGACCTTTTTCCTTCAGGGCCCATTCAGGATGGTCCACCATTATAACTCCACCTGAAACGTTCGTGACAAGGCTGAAGGAGACCTGCAGAGTCACTTCCTGGAAGCCTTATGCTGAGCGAGTCCAATTGGTTGGCCTCAGATGACTTTTCTGCCATTTGGTGCGGCTTTTCAGAGCTAGCAGGAAAGTCAAAAGTTTGTTCCCAGCAGTAACTTCATGGGAGAAGATACCTAGAGATCTGCTCCCATAAAGATGACAGGCAAGAAGGCCCCAGGTCTGCTGTCACACGGGGCACCATGAGGCGGAACTGACTCCACGACAGCTAACAAACAGTATCAGGTTTAGGTTCCAGTAGATACTGATAGGATTCAGTCTTCCTGCTGCAAGGACCAGATTCAGGGTCAAGTCCATGCTTAGGACCTCCGCTCAATCCTAAAAGCACACGGTTCTATCTTCTCATACGTCTTGGGCACATTAATTCTTCCAAAGGACCTCACAGCAGACCCAGTGCTGTAATGACATCACCTGTCCCTCACCTCCCCCTTCCCTTCTCCAAACCTGACCACCCTAGAGACCCGTGGGGCTTATTTTCCGAGCTAAGACAAACCCTGGGGAAACTCAAGAATGAGAGCTTCTATTTTGTACTTCGGGCTAAAGCATTACTGCTTGCTTAGAATAAATCAGTGTTCCCAGGCTTGGGTCATAGATAGGGACTTCGCAGCTCTACTAAGACACCTGCTACGGAAGCCTACTTAGGGCATTTCAAACAGGTTGCCGTTATTAGTGACGACCTCTTCATTACCGTGAAGGAGAGAATCTTTAGTTAAAAACAGCCATTTGAGTCAGTAGTAGGAATATAATCAGAATTTTTTGTTCAAGAGTTCTCTCTGTAGGGGCCAACTTGGCCAGCTGAGTATTGTCCTCCAGCCTGGGCGGACACTGGTCAGCTGTTTGCAGTCATCTCGAGTCCATCCATTTGGGGTTCTAACATAGATTTTGAAACTGAATAATGGAATTATCTGCATCCCCTTTCCAAGACCCTGTTCAGACGTGTCAGTCTGAGTCTTCTTTGTTCTAGTAGCGTTTCTGAACGTACGCATCCTGTAAAAGGATGGAGAAAAAAGAAAATCTAGTTCAAGTTCCTTTTGGAGTATTCTCAAAAATTAGATTCCTCCTACTATTGAAATCTAGGCCCTTTCTAAATTATGGGAGTACCTGAAAACAATTAAAAATTTAAAAAAGCTTCAGAATTTAAATTTTCAATTTTCCTTTTCAAGAAGTATTTGCCAACACAAATGGAGAAAGCATTTCAAAGTGTATTCTGCATCCACAGATTTTACATGAGTAAACAGTCTTAAGTAACCGGGTTATTTTAACTTGTCCACGGTGTAGTTCCCCTCTGTCTGTTGTCATTCAGCTTCTTGTCTGGTGAGCTTTTGGCTCAGAGCCTGGACCAGGCAGAGGGGAGCCAGGGTTGTTCCGTACCCTGCATTAGCTACACAGACACGGTGTGTGGTTGAACACATGGCAGATGATTTTGCATTGGTAGCTCCCAACCATAAGATTTTTTATACTTGTGTTTTTCTTTACTAGAATGCTGTTAGAAAAATGAACATTTTCATTTCAGTAACCATTTAGAGCATCAGATCTTTTGTTTGAGCACCAAGTGGCTAGGTTGTGTAAGTTTTGTAATAATATGCAACTGAGATAAAGACATGATACATTTTAATCCGTTAAAGACTAGTGGGGATGTATCAGTCAGAATAGCACATAAATTTTGTTTTCTCAATCACAGTTATTTGTCATCTTGCAGTATTACTGACGCTGTTGTAAACTGGACTTCAAGTGGTATTAAAAACACATGCTAACTCCTGTTAACCAATTTTTATCTGTTTGTATATCTTACTATAGATTATGTACAAGTTACATCTAAATAAAAGTACACTTTTAACCCTAAAAGTTTTTGTATGCTTGAATTGTTATTGAAAGGACAATAGAAGATGGTGGCCCTTGTCCCTAACATTTATCTTGTTTGACACAGAACGTAGTTCTCTTGTTGTCGTTAGGTACTGTCGAGTCGGTTCTGACTCATAGTGACCCTGTATAGGGTTTCCAAGGAGCAGCTGGTGGGTTTGAACTGCTGACCTTGTGGTTCACGGTCCATTGTGGTCCTACATCACCACACCAGGAGTCTCCCTCTTACTTCCGTTTAAATGTCTCCATCATTTTTGTGTGATCGGGGGTTCAGGTGAAATGCTGTAACAGGGAGCACATTGGTAGCGTTGTTAACTTTCATGTTTAGACCTATTATTCATTGCAAATTCATTTTTTAAAAATAATATTCTCTGTGTTTTAAGTGAAAGTTAACACAGCAAATTAGGTTTCCCATGCCCTGGTGGTGCAGCATGTTAAACATTGGGCTACTAACCACAGAGTCGGCAGTTCAAACCCACCCGCTGCTCCTATCAAGGTGTACAATCTTGAAAACCTTGAGGAGCAGTTCTAGGGTCCTAGGGGTCGCCATGAGTTAGAGCTGACCATAGCATTGGGCCATTCATACTTGCTCCGTTGTCGATAAACAATTCACTGTCTAAGAGTAATGCAACTGGAAATAGAATTTTTTAAAACTTCATTCTCTACTCAAGTGTGGCAACAATTGTGGGGTTTCCCAGGACCGGGCAGTGTTTCATTCTGTTGTGCACAGGGTCGCTATGAGTCGGTACCAACTCGATGGCACCTAACAACAACAACCACCGCATAAAAATAGAGTAGATGTTTTTGTATACTGGTCTTTTATCACACAGTATTGCTAAATTCATCTCTTAGGCTAGTAGTCTTTTAGATTCCACAGGATTTCTTATGAAACAATTTGTTCATAATATGGAGAGTGTTCTCACTGTTCCTTTCCTATCTGTGTGCTTTTGTTCCCTTTCGCGCCGTGTTGCGCTGGCTGGAACCTCCTGTATTTGACTGAACAGAAGAGATAAGAACGCTGTGCTTCACTCCTTTTCTTAGTGGGAACATGGTCGGTATTCAACCATTACATTTGATTTTAGGGGTGTTTTGTAGAAGCCCTTTACCAGACTGAAGAAGATCCCTTCTAGCCTAAATAGCCCAAGAAGTGCCTTTTTAAAATCATAGATTGGGTGTTGAATTTTGTCCTACATCAATTGAAATGATGCATTTTTCATTTCTTTTAAACCTTTTAATTTAGTAAATTACATTCATTGATTTTGTTTTGTAAATTTCAAGCCTCTGTCTTAGTCATCTAGTCCTGCTTTAACAGAAATACCACTTGTGGGTGGTTTTAACAAATGGAAATGCGTTTCCTCACAGCTCAGAAGCTAGAAGTCAGAGTTCAGAGTGCTGGCTCTAGCCGAAGGCTTGACTAGAACTCTTGGCCCTGGGAAAAGGTCCTTGTCTCTTTTCAGCGTCTGTAAACCCAGTCCTCCTGAGCCCTCCTTGTGTCACACCTCAATCTTTCCCCGGATCTCAGAACTTGCAGTGTAGGGGCCCCAGGCCCAAAGGGCACACTCCCCTTATTGGGAGTAATTCCCTCTGAGCTGTGCCCACTGCCCTTTCCTGACCTTGCAGCTAGCATCCCAGCACTTAGTCCACTGTACCACCAGGGCTCTTTCAGCCTAGTTGATGGGAATTAAGTATGGAACTGGAAAGGGTGTGAAGGTTTGGAGCAGCACTGGGCTGCCGGGAGGGAAGGTGGCCAGGGCCCCCCACACAAGGGACCCAGAGCAGGTTAGTGGTGAGGCCCCACTTCTGAGGGTACTTGGTTCTGACCCTCAGATGCTGTCCAGAGTGCTGAAATTCGGGCTCCAGACAACCATGTGCATCTTAGCTGTAGTTGCAGTTGGGGGGCCTGAGCCTCCCTAAGCTGACTACAGAGCCTGGACCCTCGGGAAGGCATGCTGCATCCCAGCTGAGCCCTCTATCGCATCTCAGGACACAGCCCACCTGCACAAAGAGGCCGGTTTACCATCAGATGGGAGACGGGCCAGACTCACTGCCTCTGAAGGCCTTCCTGTGCCAGGGACCACCAAGACATTTCAAAATTAATTTGAATGTGGTGAAATATGCCATTTGTTGTTCTTAAGTGCCATTGAATCAGTTTCAACTGTCAGAAACCCTATATAAGGTTTCTGTGGAGTGGCTGATGGGTTTGAACTGCTGACCTTGCGGTTAGCAGTCCAGTGCTTGTCCTACCAGAACTCCAAAATAAGAGTCATCGAAACAGGAAGTGTGTGAGATGGAGAGACACAGTGGCTGCAAGAATGGGTTCAAAACCGAAAACAGTG